TTTCCCCCTTCCCCCGCCACCGGGGGGGGGGGGGGGTAGCCCCAAGGTCTTCATTGTCAACCCTGTGTAACCCATACTACCTTGTAGGAGGCGCAACCCTGACAAGGCCCCATGACCCAACCCGTACAGGGGGTGGTGATGTGTAGCAGGTTCATGACTGGTAACCCTAGCACGGCGCAGCACCTTGCCAAGACCCGAGCCCCCACCTTGCTAACACCCCGACCCTAACAGGGTATGGACGAGAACCTACCCCAGGGTGTCGGAAGGTGCAAGGTAGAATGGGATGATGAACCTCGACCCCCCACAACCTCGAAGACCTTACCAAGGTCTTTTCCGGTACCTTGTAGTCACTATGCACCCTGTGCAACCCCTCCACAGGGTGCCTACAGGGTTGACCACCTTGCCAAGGGGTCCCCAAGGTTAGCCGTGGCCACCGGTGCGTGTAGCACACAGCACCAGCATTATTAGGTGATACTGTAGGGAAAAATGACAGACAGTAGTAGTGGATGCTGTGACAGGAGGTTTGGTAAGCATTCCGCGATCGAGCACCTTTATTTCAGAGGCAGGCGCGTGCATCGAAGGGCCGCATGTTATTCAGCTCATTCCCTCCATGCGTCTGTCTTTGGTTCTTATACTCCCTGACGTTTTCTTCTTTCTGCAGCGCAGGTGTCTGTCTGTGCTCCATGCGTCTGTCTTTGGTTCTTATACCCCCTGACGTTTTCTTTTTTTGGCAGCGCAGGTGTCTGTCTGTGCACGAACTCTTCCTTCCTTGACGTTTGTTTGTCTTATTGATCAAATTCACCTCTGGTACCTCCCAGTCACTACTAGCAAAATACACATAAATCAGTTATATCGTACGCAGATATCGCCGAGAAAAGAAGCAAAGCAACAAACAGTGCGCAAAACATCTGAAATTTGTACACGCATCATGTTGCATACTACGTACGTGCCGCATATTTACCGATGAATACTCGTCATCTTCATCCCTTGCCCAAGGAGAACGGCGGGCGGCGGCAAAGGAGAGGGACCTACACAAGAGAGAGAGCAATCCGGGAGCAATATCCCACCTTTTGAGTTCTTGTGTCTTGGATTCATTAGAAAATAATATGTTTGTGCGTCTTTCTATGTCAGCAAGGAAACCGCATCGTCACACAAAACCGGTTTGGGCGATGATTCCTAGCAACCCTTGGGCGAATCCTCCGCTCTCCGTATCATACACAACGCCGTCCGTATGCTACGTCCCAGTAGCAAGTCCACAGCCAGTTAGCACTACTACAAGTGCACCTAAAACAGGATCCCCCCCCCCTCCTCAAGCCCTGCGGAACCCCCATCAGAATGACATAAGCAACACAGGAAAAATGAAAACTAACACCCTCAATCTCTCTCTACAAATACCAAGTCGAAATCATATCATTATTCCATCGAAACTCTAGCCGACTACCCTACACTTTACCGCGCGGCAAGCACACACAGTCGCGCGCACCGCCCGGTACACCCGACAGACACCAAGGGCAAGTCGGACTCGCCCTGGCCGCACCCGTGGCTGGCTGCGAAATACATTCACAAAACATGTAAATGTCGTACGCACACCGAAACGCCTTCCATCGGTGCATGTCTATCCTACCTTAGGACATGCCGTAGGTTGCATTCGTTACTACCGCACCTCTTGGACCGAATTTCAAACTTCTCTTCATCCACAACGAAGAGGATGCCGAAATAAAGAGATACCTTTTAGGAAAGCTGTTTTTCTGCCGAGTAATCGAGCTTTCAAAATCGATCCAGGGGGTGTGACATACTTTGCAACCTGCAACCTGCGGTAACAAAAGAGATAGATTGCCAACCAACCCCCCAAGAACAAAAACTACTGAAGTAGAAGGGCAGATGGAACAAAGGAAGAAAGAAGGGGTCCGCAGAACGATCGCACAACGACAAGTCGACGCTTCGCCACCACAGCTTCCATTCCGCGTGCGTAGCTCACCGAACAGCGCCAGGCACGAGCGATCCCTGGTTCGACAAGGGAACGAGGAAGGGGAGGAAGGGGTGGGGGAAGAGGCAGGAGGTTGAGGGCGCGAAAGTAGGAACTCGATATCTCAAAATCCCTTGGATATGCTTTGCATTTGTGTGGAGGACACCTGTCGGAAGTATGCAACTAACCAACCAACCAACCATTTGTGCACGTACAAAGTAGGGAGGATACGATCCATCGGGGTAACTTGCTGTCGGGAGAGTGACAAGTAACACATCGTTGAGATCAGTCTCTTCCATCCTCTTTGACCACCTGCCTAGAGTGGAGGCGGAGAGTCTTCGAGGTACCGCGCGTAGTGCGTACAACATAGACGCGGGACATGCTTGCCCGGGTGGAAACGCTTTCCGTAGAATGCTGCTGTAGCGATATCCATCAGAAGACTATTCCGGTAATACTCCTTAGGTGAATACCTACTTACTGTTGTTTACAGCAGTGCAAACTCTAATGACTGACATTGAGTATTCCAACAGACAGCACGCCCTAAATACACAACGAAAAGTGGGCGCTTCTACATGTAAGCGTACAGAGAGGCAATAGAGACAAGAGAGAGAGAGGGAGAGAGAGAAAAAGGACAGCGGCACGGCACACGCCGCCATCATCACATGCCACGTGCACACGGGAAGATCTCTGGCCAAGTGACTGTCAGCCGGCATCATCATATCACAGGCTTGTACCATGCCAGGAATATACATACCTGCAGGTTCGCCGGAGACGAGTAGATGGCGTCGTCGCGACCGCCCTCCCCTCCGGGACCGAACGGGTGCACGGGCTCGCCCAGCTTGCCCGATCGCTCGTTCACCATGTACAGCCCCATCGGCTCCGCGATGCATTCCTCCGCACCCTGCCGTCCATTGATTCACCCGCACACAGGTCCAGACCGAAGGCGAAGGCGGCCCCGTAGGAAAACGGGGGAGGGGGAGGGGGGGGAGGGGGGGGGATTGCCCATTGGTGCATGAAAAAAGACTCGAAATTCGTTCACGCCTTGGCTCACATATTCCACCCCGTCAACGTCGTCGCAAACGACTGCTTCGTTTATCCGGCAGTGCATGCACGATGGCGCTCACGACTTAGTTGTTTCGAGATGAGCTACAGCAGTAGCTCGCAACGGATCGGTGCGAGGCAACCAACAGCGACTTACATCCGTGAAGGACTGGAAGGTGTCGGTATTCTGGTAGCTAGACATGGCCTCGGGGCTGGGGAAGCGCTGCAGCATGAAGAACGCCGTGCGGTCCTCGGGGTCCTGATTATCCACAACAACACGCAAAAACAGGGCGTTAACGAGTGCAGGCAAAAGGAACTAAGCCAGATTCTACACAAAAAACAACTTACAGCACAAGTAGCGCACCACATTGTATGGCTCCTGTGATGCCCTGTTGGCACAGCACGCGCCAACCACACACAGCACGCGCCAACCCAACCGCTTTAGTACTGTTGAACGGCAACTGCGAGTACCGAATGCGTAGTCGCTGCTCATGTGGACTTCTCGTACCACGAGTCAGGGGGAGAGAGCTGCAGCGGCCCAATCATAATTCAACAGATCAAACAAATCCCCAAGAAAGTGCCATTCTACGCAAGACACTGTGGGGCAAAAGTGGCAACTCCGACATGTCGCTTACACCGATCCAACCGGCTCGACAAAACGTCGGTTCTCGAGTCAAAACTAAACTCAGTCTCGCACAACACAGGGAGGGGGGGGGGAACAAGGTACCCGCAACAAGGCCCGCTGGACCAAGAGCAAGAAAAATTTCAGCGAGACACGTATCAATCAAAACACAGGCAAGCAAGACAGAACGAGACACAACACAACAGCAAACCAAGACACAGCAGCAGCCATCCGTCACCTGGTTGACAGTGCAAGTGAACACGAGGTCCTTTTGGTTGTCCACAGTTTCTTCCACGAGGCTCTCCAGCAGGTTGCGCAGGGTGCCCTCGCGGCCCTTCTTGGCCTTGATCGAAGTGCTCAGCACGACGGCACCCGGAGTCTGGCGGCCGGACAGCTCCAGCGTGTTGATCACCATGGACAGCGGCGGGGCCTTGCTCGCTGTGTCACGCGTGGAGGAAGCATCGGGTATAGCAGGGGCGAAGCAGAGTTAGCATTAGATGTACAGCGGAGGATCCGGTGAAAGGACTTGTGTATCGCGGAAAATACATATCGAAGTCGACGGTGTTCTGCGTTCTCCATTCCACCGCGATCATTCCCGCAAACAGTCATCACGATCAAGTACAGGATATAACCTTTTCGCGACGCTCAAGAATGTTTCATCTTCTAGCGCGCAACCTCCAAGCAGCAACTCAGTGGTGCACATACTGCTGGGGCCAATAGAGCTACACTAGAGAAATAAGATAGAACGCCCTACCAATGGTCTGTCATCTGTTCCGGCTAAAGATACCGCAATAATCCCATCACTGCGGTGGAATGCAGTGTACACGCTCGCTGCCCCAGTCTCTTGTACAAGTACTGAGCCGTACGCAAGAGGCAAGGTGCCGCGTGATATCTGCAAACACGGGGATGGGGGGCGGGGGCGGGGTGCTCACCAGCGATCGCCTCAAGCTCCTCTTGGTCAGGCATAGCCGCCACCTTCAGGAACCCTAGCGGACCAGTCTGCACGCAACGCAGCAAACATGTAGCAAGGAGGCCGGGTAAACAGACGGAAAGACATTCATCATCGTCGTGTCGGGAGTTACCCTAGACACATGGTGTCCGTCGACATCTGTCAACTGGATAGAGCGGCAGCCGCTTGTGTGTTTACTACGAAATTCTTGCGATACGCAAAGTGGTTCCCACGATTACGCCGTAACACCACGGTGCCACGGTAAATCTATTCACCGAACCCCGACACAGGTGGCGCGGGAATGCCATTGCGGTGTTTTGGTTGGCAATGGGCCAAGCTCTCCAGACACACAGTTAGTGAATGAAACGCAGGGACACGAGAGCGCAAAATCTACACGATGAATGAGACAGGCCACCCCACAATTGGCCACCCCACAATTGACGATCTTCCTCGAAATACGAGACAGACGCACAAGTTTCAACTCCAACGAAATTTGGGAGCGCGTTACAGCCAAGGACGAACCACCTGCTATTTAGAACGTGCCAAACTCACATCTGAAACGACTACTGCAAAAATCTCTATCCAAGCAAGCGCGACCCAGCGCGCACCGCCACTACCACTCCCGCGTCTACCTGCCCTACTACGTACCGCCAAGGTGATCATCGCCGCACCAATACCCTCCCCCTTCGCCTTGGCGATGAATCCCGCCGCGCCCGTCAAGACCACATGCGCCGCCGCCGCGGTCAAGCACGCCGTTCGCGCCGTGTCTGCCGCCGCGTCGCTGAGGTAGCCCCTCGCCTGCCAGTCTCCGGAGAACCCCGCGTCCACGAGCCCCGCCAGCGCGACCACGAACACTGCCTGCGAACAGTATTTGAAACCAACAAAATAGAAGAGGGACAATACTCGTAACGGTAAATAATGATGTAATCGACAGAGACAGGGGAGCACTGAGGCGCGGTTTTCAGGAACGAAGGGCCGGGGGACGTCCCAAGAGACGAACCAAAAGCAAGCAATGACCGACAGAATGCCAAGAGTTGCACCCAACGAGCTTAGAAACCGTGATGGTTTATAGTGTGCACGCGTGACAGGTGTGACAGGCACAACTACAGTAGCAAGGACGTGAGAGACGTGCTCACTTCACCAGACCTTTTGCGCCACTGGGTAAGCTTGGCAGAACTAAGCGGACCAATGAAAACATTGAGTCATGTCAGTAGCCGGATAGGACAGATCGACACCAGCCGCTAGCCCAGCCCCTTAGCCCACCTCACCAAAACTAAACTAACTTTATAGGCCGAACAACGACAACAAAGAGAAATCCTCAAGTCAGCAAGAATCCCAAGATACCCCTATCTCCCCGACACACCCCACACAAACAGACGCCTGTACAAGAGACGGCACGCACAGACGAAATCGAGACAACCTTCACAGCGGCAAAGGGCAGCGTCTACCACAAGCCAAATCAGGACAGAACGAGCAAGCGGGACGGCAAGGAGCGCGGAACCCGGTCCAGCGTCCGGCGACTATACAGATGCATCTACGGTACCGCGCGCTCGCTACCTGGAGGCCATTGAAAATCGGTCCCTCAGTCAAGGGTCGGAGAGCAGCGAAAAAGTCAGTCCCCTCTTCCAAGTCCGGCACCGTCGCATCGCCCCCCATGGCACCGGCAGTCATGCTCAGAGCCGAGCACGATGACCGTCCTCGGCTGGTTCACGTGAGAAAAAAAACGCGTTTAGGAACGAGGCCATCCGAGACACAAAGGCATCAGCGGAGCGACGAAAGACCACCATAGACGAATGAGGGCATGACTTGCTGACAGCAAACCATGGCAGAGTGAGAACGGACTTTGTGACGCCGATGGCAGATGGTCTTTGAAGGGCACCCGTCGCAACAGGGACATCACGACAAAACCACCGCACGCGGTAGGACATAAGCCAGCGGCGGGAAATCAGGAGGGGTATGGACAGCACCACACACAATTTTAGTAGAATAGCAATCCATGGACAAGGCGAGAGTGCGAGTCCCACCGGCGTGGCATGACGGTCTGGGCGTAGCGCGCGTGTCGACGGTGCGACGAGGAACGTTTGCCGAAGCGACAGCTAGTACACGACCTCACCAAAGTTCCCTCGGCCATCCTGGGCACAAAACTACCCATCGCACTCACACCATACCCCCACACGCAAAAAAGGTAGACAGCAGCAATATCCAAAGCTCGACTTTCTACTGCTGTAGCGTTAACACCGGTGACGACAGTTGTAGACGTACTGACCCCGCAGACCGTACTCGCGTTATGCCGAAGCCTTGCCAACGGCAACAGGGGAGATTTCCACGAAATGTACAGCATAGGAGGTTTCATCGGGTGAGTGCACGTGATGGTGGCGACAACGACAAACGTGAGGTCTCACCATTCGGTCGTTGATCGAGCCCCGTCGGCCCACCGTTGCTGGGCCCTCGCTGCTTGTGTCCTGATCGGCAGCGGTGCCACGAAGCCCGAGGTCGGCAGCACAGCCGACGCCGCTAGGAACAAGCACAGTCCGGACACCTTTCCCATTGTGGAGATGATACGGGTACGTCGAGTCTGTTTCCCAAACCGCCCCGTTTTCAGTGTTGGCGATAATGTTGTACGGTCACGACACGACGGTACGAGGAAGGAAGGGGGGGATTGTTGTCTGTGAACGGGGACGGTTGAATCATTGTAGCAAACAAGACTGCTGTGGAACAGAACAAACAGGGTGAAAAGTAAAATGTTGCGTGACACTGCTGTCTGCTTCTACATATGCATGCATAGCCATCTTCGGCGGTGTTCCTATCGTCCTGCCACAAGATGCCATGCCATATCTTGATGGCCAGGCCAAGAGTGTCGCTCTCTGTTCACGTGCTCAAGCGGCAGCATGTCTAAATGTACGGCAGTAGCAATCACACCGCGAACGACTACAGTACAGGTCCCTGTTTAGTAGTACAACCTGACATGTTCAACCCCATCACCGGTGGTACTGCCCCCCCGCCATGCCTACTACGGCAACGGCAGCAGGAAGTAACACGCTTGGGACCCGTACTACTACCAGCAGCAGCTGCAGCCACCGCCCCCGCCGGCGTTCCACCCAAAGCCTCGAGTGCTGGGATCTCATCGCCTCCTTGAACGTCTTCGCCACGGGCAGAGTGCTACGTATATAGCAGACACGAAGCAGCTTGGAACAGATCTGGAACCTCATCGGCGCGCCCAATACGTACGATTCCAGACCTGCCTCACTGCGGCTGCCAACGAGCTCTGTGTGCCCAAGACGGCCAAGGAGGCGATGAGGTCCCGGGACTCTATATATCCGTTGATAGAAGTCGAAATTTCTAAAGGGTCTGGGCACGGATCCCGCGATAGCACACAAGTGAAGTGCTGCTTGGTTGCTGGTTGCCCGGTTCGCTGTTGACCTTCAACCAGCTGCAAAGAGAGAGAATGTGTGTTCTCGTACACACTACATGTAAGACACATCATGCAAAGACTGCGGAGAACCCAACAGGCCGAGCGATATCACACAAGAGGCCATATGTGGCGATGTTGCACACACACCCAAAGTGCAGCAAACTACACACCTCGTACCCCGCTGCGGTGTTGGTCGTTCTTTCGTCCGTGATGCTGCATGTTTTGACGTTTTGACAGCCCCACACTTCAAGGAACCAACAGACAGCGGTCATGAACGCATACAGCAAGGCTGTAGCTTTTTTGCACAAGAAAGGAAATGCCTAAGCCCCTACCACAGCTTTGACGATGCGCTCCCTCTACGCGCCTGTCCCGTCCACCACGCACACCCGCCTGTTGCAGACAACCGCCGCCGTCTCAGCGGCTACTACTGTGGATGCGGGCTTCGCTTACCTTGGGCTGCCTCGATCAAGCAACGCCTCCTCTTTCCTCCCTTTGTTTCGCCTCGCGAATTACCACCCGAATAGTTGACGCGTTGTGGAAGCACTGTGTGTTCTGAGGAGGGTGAAGTATGTGGAGTAGGCCGTGTCTTGGGTAGGGGTGATGGTGAGGCGAGCTGCTCGTTTGGAGGCTGTATGATGCGTGTATGACAAGTGGCCCAGTGTAGTGCCTCGATTTCGGATTTCGCGCGAGGGGGGTCGATGACTGGGAATACGAAGCTGAAGGGGTGCTTGCCTCTTTCTCGGGGCCTCTGGGGTCTCGCCGCATCATCATCACACACACAAACCAGGATCAAGCTCACAGCAGTACATGGTACCTAGCCGCTCTCTCTCTCAGGGGCCAGAGGGCGGTTCTGGCCTGGTGGTTCACAGCATCCGCAATGAACCGAAGAGAGAGAGGTGGTTCAAAGGGAGGCGTACTTGCATCTAACGCTGTTGGTGCACAAGACGAGCCAGAAGCTGCTCCTCAGCTTCGGGCACCTCGACATGGCGGTTGGAAGGGATCCAAGTCGGCGGGCGGTCGAGAGGCGCACATGCTGCGCGGCGAGCCGGGGTACCACTTGGGTGGGTGCTCGAACGAAATTGTTGGATAGGCCGTGGTGGTATCGGTGGTGATGTTTTCGTAGTGGACACGGAAGAACAGTAAATTGTTCAAATGTACAATGTAGCAGGTAAAGTGTAGGTTTGGATTGCTTGATCTACTGCTGCTGTAGAAACCCCGACGGCCGACACCTGCTGCTGGTTTGGTTCCGGAGGCGAGCGCAGCACCTTCTGCGGCGCTGTAGTTGCTTTGCAGCGACTTCGCTTTTCCAGCGTGCTCGCCTAGCGTTGGTGGACGGGAAGGCTCACCCTTCCGACGCGCTTGGGTTCGATTTTCGGCCTTGGGTTTGGTTGACTACGCTGCAGCTGCTGCAATGTTCGTGACGACGCAAGTACAGCGGTTCCGCATGTATCCAATACTTGGGAGACATTACAGCAGCAGTCCATGAATCCTATTATAGAGCAGTAGGTGACCTCCGCCGACGAGGAATGGAAGGATTGGCATCTGCATCAAACATCGAACACAAAGCATCTGCGTTGTTCGCACCACAACTCGACCTAAACTCCTTAAGTCCAAGCTGATCTTGGCGTCAAATTCTTTCATCGCTTTCTTGGCGGCCGAAAGGTGGTGATGCTTGGAGTGGAGGTTGGGGGAAGATGGCCGAGTTCAGGTGCTCGGGCCGAGTTCAGGTGCTCGGGCCGAGTTCAGGTGCTCGCTGCCGAAGCCAGCACTGGACACGTCTCGTTCGCGTGTGTAGAGAGTCCGCGATTCTCTGCTGTTTTGTATGAGCAGTCACACAGCAGTAGTCACCACTCGAAGGGGACGGCTGATCAACCCATTCCGCCACACGCAGAAAGAGTATTGCAGAGTGCGGTTCATTTGTTCTTGGAGAAACGTCAAGGCACCACTGACCAACGTGCCCTCCGCGCCGTCCTCATCGCCGTGTGTTGGGGATGTGTTGGACAGATGTTATGCTACCATCCACTCGACCGCGTTGGACACATGACGATTCCGACCATGTCTTCGGACCGACGGCACATACAAAAGCTACAAAATATCTGCGTATCAACAATCCGCAATGGACCGATTAGTCCTTCCCGTGCATGACTCGCTGTGGTCCATCGTCCCCCGCCCCCCTCTCATCGAACTTCCCACCTGACAAAAATAAAAAAATCACGACCAACACAGGACTGTTCCGCATAGGCTACGGCATGCTCCTCGTCCAGCGCACCCTTGCGTTCATGAGCAGCGGCGCCGTCGACGCCTCCTTCGTTACCGGGGAAAGCCCCGCATCGTCCCCGGGAGGAGTGGCTCCCAAGAGCGTGATCAACTTCGGCCACGGCTTCCTGTTGCTCGGCGGGGAGCTGGGGTCCCCGACAGCGGACGCGGTGCGGACGGCGTGCTGGTGCCTGTGCGCCGCAGGTGCCGCCATCTCCGTGGGGTTCCGGCCGAATGCGATGGCGTTTGCCGCGTCGTTGATGCAGGTCTGTCTATTGTTGTCTTGTCTGCCTTGCCTGTGCATGAAAGCGACGCCTGGCTCCCATGGTCGAGCCGTTCCGGCCGCTGAATTCACGTATTACGCGGCAGTTTGGCCGGGGCGGACGCAGACGAGAGAAGTCGGGGTCAGGGTGACGGCCGTCGAAAGCGTCCGCGAATTGCGACGTTTCTGTTTTATCATCGCTTTGAAGTTGGTCAGTGAATTCGCACGGGCTTCAGAGGGGGGACAGCGCTCAAGACTCTACGAACCTCTTTTCGCACATCATGACACCTTTCTTTCCTTGGATCGCAACGGGAATCGACCTCTCTTAATTCTCTGTGCCAAACATTTGTCGCGAAGCACAGCAATGTCTCGCCTATATTTGTCCACCAGGCCTACCACACTGCCCCAAATGACCGAGCTTCGGCAACGAAAAGCACGCCTTATCTTGAAGTGTTGGTCAACCAGGATGACCCTCTCTACATGCCCTCAACATGTCTTGCCACTGCCCTCGCCCGCCCACGCGTCGCTCGTGTTTGCAAGCTTTTCCTGCTGCTGCTGGAGAAGAGCGTGTACACAGACGAGGCCTACCTTTTTGCCCTCGTTGGTCTCCTCCTATCCTGCACTGACTGCGGAAAGACCCTTGGGCTGGACGCCCCTGTCCTCGAGGAGGACGGTGCGGCCGGCAACGGCGTCGGTGGCGCTGGGCGGGGAGGGGCGACGCGGAGTCAACCGCCTGATACCGTGCCACACTGGCACGTGGTGCTGCTCAGGTTTCAGGTGCACAGCAAGAGAGCGGCTACTAAATACTCCCCATGTAGTCCCTCGCCTTTTTATGAGCATCTCGGGCGAGGTCTGCAAAGCTTTGAGTTACTGCATCTTGTGGCATTTGTATTCGCGGACAGATATCCTTTGCATGATTCGCGATGCCGTTCAGTCCAAACAACACCGAGTGTCGTCCGGGTATTACACCCTCGAGATGTGGATGTGCTGTCAACTGAGGTGCGTGGTGGTGCGTGAACGTTCGATGTGGAGGTAGTTGTTGCGGTCGCCACTGACGGAAAACGAATTTCTTGGACTAGAGATGTATGGAAACAGATGGTTCTTAAAATTAACGCCTAAAGAACACAATTATCAGTGAAAGTACGTTGTGTAATATTTTTTCGTGCTAGCTCTATTGGAAGTTGAGGACGACCATTACATGCCAATCGCCCATGCACTTCGGCAGCGAAGTGGCTTGCCCTTCTCCGTGCGTTAACTGCATGCATCGTTCTTCACCTCTCCGCTAACATCGCGAATATTATTTACAACAGGTGTGCATCGTGCACATACACCGGGGGCTCGCGAAGGCTTCCACGCTGGACTGGCTTATCGGGGGGCAGCCACTCCTGCACACAATAGAGACATTGCCTCCCGCGCACCTGGCGCGAAGGGCGGCTGAGTGGGCTGCAGCAAGCGAGATCCCAGGATTGGGTGGGGGTGGCATGCAGGTGGATCCCCTTTCTGCCAGCTCTATTTTGATCAATTATTAATTTCAAGGAAGAACGAGCACGGGCACTTAAGAGTTGGTCGTTTGGATTGTCACTGGTTTGCTAGGTGCGGATTCGGTGACAAGGGCTATGTGCCACCTCCCTGACCATCACGATAGGGTATAGACTTCCGCTCAACAAATTTGCCATCTCCGATATGATAAGACTCTCTGTTGGGCCTCTTCCATCTCCCCCTCTCTCCCAGCCCCGCCCCCTCCCCTCGCCCTCTGTCTCCGCTTTGACCGCTCTATACTTCCCCTCACTCGCACACGTACCTCCGATCTATTTACGCAAACAGGCGCTCGCGATACGCGCGAACGGCTCCATGATATTCCTCGACCTGTTCTTGGGCTTGTCGCTCTTGGCGTCGCCGCACTACCGGCCGGCCGCCGTCGTCCTCCAGACCGCCGTACACCTCGCCAGCGCAGTCTTCGGCAGGCCCGATGCTCGCGCGTGGCACCTCCTCATCGTGGCTACGGGAGTGCTCTTCGTCGACCCGGCGGGCCTACAGGGTGCCCTCGAACGCGTGCAGGCTTGGCTGCAGCCGAAGGTTCCACGCGGCACTAGCGCGCGCTATGCTGCTGCGGCGCGGAGGGGGCGGGGCGGAGGAGCGCGCGGCGGGGGCGGCCGGCGCCGACCTTACGAGAGTAGAGGTGCCGGCAGCGGCGCGGATGGGAGCGGGCGTTCTGGAGCTGGCGGTGATGGTTCGAGGCACCAGCCAGGGCCATCGCCAATGGCTGGCACCGATGCAGGGAGTAACGGGCAAAACGGTGCCGGCGTTGCCGCTGCCGTGGGAGACGACACAGGGTTGAGAAGAAGCGGCGCGGGGGGCGCTGCCCCCCCCCCGAAGAAGAAACTCCCGCTCCAACCCAGGCCGTCCTCGCCCGTCGCGGCGCTGATATCCTTGTACGTGCTGCTGCAAGTGCTGCTGCCGCTGCGCCACGCCTTGGGCATTTTCCCCGTGGAGTGGAGTCGCGAGGGGCATGAGTTTTCCTGGCGCGCGGGCGGCGGGGTCGGCGGGCGTGGCGGCGGCGGGGGGCTCGTTCGGGAGGAATCGCTAGTGAGGGTCATGCATCGCCCTCGGGGCAGAGACGGCGGTGCGGGGAGGGGATCGGCGGCGGCTGGGGTGCAGACCATACGTCTGTACGGGGCGCCCCTGACGGCTCAGCAGGTGTGGTTTTTTGGGTGTTCGAAGGTGGGGGGGGGGGTCGGAGAGTTAGTCGTCGTTGTCTTTTGTTTTCACGATAGTATCATTTTTTTGCTCAAGTACAAAGTGCACCGTTGATTACTCTACCCCGGTGTCTGTCGCACTTCTCTTCTTTTTTTGTATAGCGACAGGCAGCCATTCTCACAGCAAGTCTACCGTGTAGGGCTTACTCAAACCACACCGATCTACAAGGTCCACCCTCCCCCCCAACGGCCTGATGGCATTCACCACGCGTACAAATCGCGCCAGGTGCTCCGCTTGGTGCTCGACCCAGACATGCTCCTGCAGTTCGCCAAGAAGACGGCCGAGATCAACGCGGCAGTCGGCCATGGCCAACAGCAGAAAGGGAAACCCCAACTCCCGGCCGCCTCTCACGTGGACGCGTGGAAATCCATCAACGGCAGACCCTTCACGCGCTGGATCGACCCTTCGGTGGACGTGTGGGACGCGCGTTTCGAGGGGGAAGGGCCTCCGAACGCGGAGTGGCTGCAGTTGCCTCCCTTGCAGGCGGAGCTGGATAGGGCGGCGGGGGTGATGGAGGTATGCCTTGCCCCCTGTGTGTGTGTGTGTACAGCACATTAGACACTCCTCGATATCGAGATCTGTTGCCGGCGATGGACCAACTGCCGTACTGTAAATCCGATCGAGTCGCCATGTCGCCGAAACACACTCTCCGCGTATCATGGATGTAGCTTGATGGCTTGCTCCGTGGTTCGCTTCGTTTGGCACGTGACCCGACTACGATGCCCCCCCACCCCCGTGCTCCGTTATCCTCTGTCCCTGCTCTGTGCTCGAATCCCGCCGGCCCGGAGCCAGGCGGTGCGCGTCAAGTGGGCCACGAAGGACCAGCGGGTCACCTTCTTCGCCGGGTACCCCGGACAGGCGAGCCTCTCCAACATCTTCCTCGGGGGATACGATCCCTCGAACTTCAACACCACCGAGCTCTGCGCCGTGCCCGCGCCGCCAAACGCCGAGGCTTCTGGTTCGGGGGAGGGTGGCGGGGTGCTGTTTGGGGTGGCGATGGGAGAGGTCCACCTCATGACGGACCCGAAGAACGGCCAGCCTCAGCCAGAGTCTCGGCTGCTCACGGTCGGGTCGGGGACTGTACTGGCTCCCGTGGGCCAAGGGCACACGGTTCGCCCCGGAGCGTCGTCGCCCGTGGCGGGGAAGCGCGCCGGGGGGCTCGCGGTCTGGTATTACGTGCACTCGTGCCCCGATGGCTTGTTCCACCTGTGCATCGGGTTTCTGAGCGGCACCGGCTGGGAACAGCTGTACCCCGGCCGCATGGGGACTAGGAGGGGCTGGACGATGGAGCACGGGGTGCCCAAGTGATGGACGAGCGGGGGTGTGGGGGGGTTGGAAGAAGGGAGCAGAGCGGGGGGGGGTTGCGTGTGCCCTATTGGGTGCGGATTTGCCTGACACCGTGTGTACTACGTACTTCAGAGACAAATCTGTTGTCGGAAGTCTGTTGTAGAAAACGAAAATCAGTTTTGGGGTTGTTGCTCGTTGAATGCTTAGTAAGAGCATGCGGTGGAACTTGGTTGCTTGATCGGCCTCGATGCGGTGACGCCGGTTTGTTCGGGTCGATCATGCCCGAACGCTCGAGTTGTATTTTCTCAACTCGTCGGATGCACCAACTGGACCTAACAGCGGACAAATCGAACATGCGTCGGACTTACATACATTGGTCTCTTGATGCTTCCGGCAGCTTGATGGCGTACGGGCTGTTTGCGCATGCAAGGAGGGAGGACGACCAAGCTATCTATACCACTGCAATAGTTGGAGGAGATTTTGGTACATGATTGTCTAACGTCAACTCGTCGACCCCGTTGAGCGTTGGTCTTGACAGGAACCACTGGCAACCTGCCCGCTGCCATGCATGATCAGCCGTAACTTTCGACGAACCGTTGTTCCGATCTCATGTCAAACATTAACCTTCGCATGTGCGGAACACACATCATCCTGTCCTGAACCTGAGTACCCTGCACAACTTTCACGTGAATTTCCCGCCCAACACTACTGTACGTCAACAGCACCGCACCTAAAGAGAGAAAACGAGGCTTTGGGGGCACCTGCCTGACACGCACCCTGTCCTGCGGCACCGCTCCGCAAGCGACCTACGCGGGTCGAAAAACATCAAAATAATTGAAGCAAATCATGATATCGGAGCAGCACTACGGGCTATGGGAGTAACCTACCGTAAGAGTCGGAGAGATGGCACCCCCGTGTTAGCGTTTTTGTATAGCGTATTTCTCCACAACCAGGGGGGTACCACTGCCGAAAAGGGTAGTTTTGGAAACATCTCGTCGAGGGCTTTCCTGAGAGGTATCGGTTGGGGTTCGCACCCTCCTAGTTGTGGAGAAATACGCTACAAAAGAACGCTAACAAGGGGTTGCCATCTCTCCAACTCTTACGGTAGTACGGCGTTGGGCATATGCGTAGGGACTAATAGATCCGGCGGATCCATACACCCAACAACCGACTACCACAAAACACAAACATAGACCAAACAAGCGATCCATCCGGAGTGGGCTCATGAGAGCACAGCGTCATCAAGGGGTGATGCAAGATGAAAAACAACGCAGGTGCAGCAGGACCAACCCACAGCTGGCTGCCAGCTGCAGTGTGACGTTTCGCAAGCCCAACAGCTCCCACAACTAACGCACGTGTGTTTTACTCGGAAGAGCTCAGAGAACTTCAACGAACCAAAGAGAAAAATTTACAAAATCTGTGTACAATCTTACATCCATAAAAACATCGTCTCAACTTTCTGATTCCGATTTGCGATTTAAATTGGCCCGATTAATCGGATGATGGAACTCAGACCGATTCACAATCCTAAGATCCAGACGAAAATAAACGTTCCGGTCTCTATTGAGTGTTTTGTAATATCCGCGCCTTCCGTGGTCACATGCCAACCTACCCACAGAGGGTACACACTTGTAGAATCAAGTGGAAAATAAAAATGGACTCAGAAAATCTTCAAACAAATGTAATCGCAGATCACAAATGCCGGACTGGGAGGCGGTCGAACCCGGAGAGCGAGAGAATTTAACAGAAAGACAGAAAAAAAGGAAACAGGGAGGCCCCATCCAGACATGTGACCTGTACAAAAGTGTATTCGCGCAAGGTGGGTGTTCGGTTGCAATTCAAACGAAAGGATGGCCCACGCAGCCGCAGAGTCGGCTATGTACTTTTATATCTGCAACACTACCCGGTTCTTCCCTCAAACTTCCACCGGAAGCATCAGCTGTCCTGTACACCTGGGCTCGCGTTGCCGAATCGACAACACACCCGCCGTCCGTGTAACTTCGTGTAGCTTCCTACATATACCTCTTGTGCTTGTACGTGCTCGAGTTTTGCATTTACTCTTCCCTGGTGGAAGATCCATCATCCTCCTCGTCAATCCACCAACCCTCGCCCCCCCCGCCAGGAGCCCCCTCTCGCAACAGTGGAGCAGACGCCGTCCCGCTCGGCAGGAACCCGTCCACTTTGATGACAGCCCTTGGTTGGGGGTACAAGACGTAGTGCTGCTTGCGCGAACGTGACAGGAAAACCAAGCGGGGGAGGGAAGGGTAATGGAGACAGCGGTACCACACAGTAGTAAAAAAAAAACACCGAAAACATAAACGAAGGTGTTTGTTGAATTTCGTCCGTCTCATCAGTTGATGATAATTATGAAACATTGCTCGGACTCAAGATCTTCTGAGTCGCTCTGGCAGCGGTAGTATGTAAATAGCGAGACGTCGAGAAGAGATGGTGTTGCGGTCGTCTGATGCGAGGGGAAGAATCGGAGGGGCAGAGGTTTCCAGAAAACCCGAAATCGTGTGTGAGTCAACCAGGACACGCCACGGTAATCATTCGTCCTTTCCCTCTCCTCGGCCGCGCAGGAGAAAAAACTGCGACGTACTGCACCCGTCGCTGCAGCAGATACTTACGCCAATAAGAAAAAGGAAGCATCCATGACTCGGCGGTCGGTTACCTGAAACAAGAATATGAGGTCGAAGAAGACGCTGACAAACCCGATTGCGAACTTGACCGGGTAGCCCGCGATGCCCCCCCAGTCCCCTGTATTCCAGCAGTCAAGCACCAGCTTCGACACACATGCACGGCGGGAGGGGTGGGGAGAATACAAGTGCAACGAAAGAGTCAAATCGATCGGTGGGGACACACACACCATCGCGGGGGAAGATGCAAAGAACTCCGTCGGGTTTCCAGTTCGATTGCTGGACCCCCCCCCCCCCCCCC